GCAGGAACCAATGGCTCCCGCTGCTGCCTCCATGGCCAGTGAGAGGAGAGGGAAAGCGAAGAGCGCTACTGCTCTCAGGTACAGCGCTGGATCATAATTGGGCTATATAAGATATGTACAGGATGGGGGGATCTGCACAGAGAAGGTTTTCTACCTTTAAAGTGTTATTAAACCCACAACAGTAAAATCAGTCTGTATATGCAGTAAAGTATGCTTATTATACTCGCTGTGGAACCTAAGGGGTTAATCCTCTGCATTGTGTGAAAAGGCTGTTTGATTCTGTCTTCTCTGATCCTCCCCTTCTTCTACTGTTCCCAATCCATCAGCTGATAGTACAAAGCTCTAGGAGTCACTCTTCACATGCTCAGTTTAGTGTGTATTGATAACGTTTTTTTTTTTCATTGGGCGGGTGCATGTGATCAGCTTAGGGTCCATCAGCACTGTCCAGACAGAGGGTAAGGGTTTATGCAGCCTCATAGGACAGTCAGAGGAGGATGAAAATGCTCCTACAAGCTTTAACCAGTGCTCAGCTGGACACTGATAAAAGTCACAAGACTGCTATATACTGCTGATGAGAAATAATTGCATTTCCATGTTCTGTGTACTGTGGGAGACCAGATATAGTAATGCAGGGTCCTGGGTTTAGTAACTCTGTAATGCATAGAATATCAAATGTCAAACGATATTAAGGACCTCTCTTATCTCTCAGAATGTCCCCTTAAAAATGTGTAAAAATACTGTGTATTAACGTGCTCAGCTTTGTATTTGACTAACAAGACAGCCTTTATTTTTTAAATCTACATGCTTTTCAATACTATAGTTTTAGTTTATACTTAATACTATACCTTTGGTTCATGCTTCCTGCACACTCCATATTCTGCTACGCTACAAATGAATGTTATTAATTGTAGGGCTGATGAAGTCCAGATAACAAATTATAGAATAAAATTGATTGAGACCTTTCCATAGTCTGTAGACCACCTTTGAACTCAGGGCAACTTGATATTGCTGATGTCTCCTTATTTCCATTTGTTTGCTGGATTTCCAGGCATCGTCAGTGAGTCTGCTCACAGACAGCCCAACCCTCACCTCCCACCCACATGACAGCAGCCTGAATGCCCCAGAGATCACTATCAGTTTGGAGCCTGTAGTTTTTTTGAGAAGCAGAAGGGTCCCAACACCTCACCCAGTATTAGGTGGAGGATGTCTAGACATTATTATTCTAAGAACACTTGAGACTTGCTTTAACTTTTACACCGCCACAAAAAAACATAAAATATAATGCTTTTTTTGTAGTGAAAAGTTATTTTTCACACTGTCAGTAATAGTCCCAGAAAAGCAACTGAATAATAATATGTACTCATTAAGATTTTTTTTTTTTCATTAATACCCAGCAGGAAAGTTATTAATGCATAGAAAATGTATTGCAAGTAGATGAGTAGGCTTGATCTTGAAGCCTAAAATTGGCTTGGGCACTTAACCACTTCAATGCCGGCACTTTTATCCCCTTCCTACCCAGGCCAATTTTCAGCTTTTAGTGGTGTCCCACTGACAATTGCGCAGTCATGCAACACTGCACCCAAACTAAATTTATATCATTTTGTTTACACAATTAAAGCTTTCTTTAGGTGGCATTTAGTCACTACTGGGATTTTTATTTTTTGCTAAATAAACGAAAAAAAAAACGACAAAAATTGTGAAAACCCCACAATTTTTTTCTTAGTTTCTGTCATAAAATTTTGCAAATAAATGTTCTTCATAAATTTAGGCCAAAATATATACTGCTACATTTCTTTTGTGAAAATAATCAAAATCAGTGTATAATATTTAGTCTGTAGGAAAGCTATAGTCCACAAACTATGGTATATATATATATATTATATTTATATATATATATATATATATACATACACCATATATACAGTGTCTATGTATATATATATCTATGAAAATCGATCAGTCTGAATGTACTGATGTACTGATCTCATTTCTTGAGGCCTAAAAATGTCAGGACAGTACAGATATCCCCCAAATTGCCCTTTTTTGGAAAGTAGAGGTATTTAGTAGGAGGCATGGCGAGTTTTTTGAAGTTGTAATTTTTTGTCATAGTGTTTTGGAAAATCAAGAATTTCACTTTTTTTCCCCTTTTTTTTATACATACTGTCACCAGTACACCATCATCATATAACTAGTTTGGCAGTGACCAGGGACACGGACTGTTGACAGTACGGAAAAAAACATTTCTTTGTTATATTTGTTTTCTTTTTTTTTACGATTTTTTTAATAACACACTGTAACCATAGTAACATTGTACTACTCTGGGGAAATGATCAGTATTTTTTTTTATACATTATAATTACTTATAGCAATGAATTTGCAATTAATTTCATTGCTATAAGCAAGTATTTTACTGAATTGATTTCAGTAATTTTACTGACTTAAATCAATTCATTCAGTTTGTTTTGTTGTGTTTAGCTGTCATTGGGCACAGCTAATCACATGACACAAATGGGCTGCGATTGGCCTAATCTGTACCTTGTGATCACTGTGACCGAGATCACAGCTAGCAACACAATTGTATACAATGGAATGCATTAATCCATAGTTTAATGACTCTGTAACGAAACCTAATAGAATTGGTCAAGTTTGTAGTTTCTAATTTAATCTTGTCCAATTAACCACTTGCCCTCCTGAAGATTTACCCCCCTTCCTGACCAGGCCATTTTTTGCAGTATGGCCCTGCGTTACTGTCACAGCTGCTTCCCCCTCTCAGCCCCCCCCTTGCTCTGTCCCTGCTCTCTCTGCCGTCTCTCATCCGTGCCCCTCTCACCTCCTGCAGAGATGAAAGGCATTCCTAAGACAGGCTGGAGCCACGCCAGCTCCGGCCCGCCCCGGTTGCCTAGGCGACTAGGGGGCGTCCGACATCAGTTTAAGAAGCTAATGCCCGGCGCTCCCAGGGAATTCACCGCTGTGTAGCTACTGAAGGAGTCTGAGCTGCGGCAGGGACCTTCATGGCCAGGCTCTGCAGAGACCCAAGCCTGCCTAGGACCTCCCCGCATCAGAGCAGGGGAAGACTGCTTGCTAGCCACCAGAGATCCGTGAGTACATGCTCTCTTCCTGATTCACTTGAACTGTTTCTGTGCTGAACCCACACCACCCCCCTGTTGGATTACAATTGCTACAGAGACTCTTCCTTGGCTCTCGGTGTTGGACTTTAAGTGTGTTGGTCCCTCCTTGTCGCCCTTTACTGGCGTATTCACCCTCCCTGCAAACTCCCCTATTCAGTGACAAGATCCTCGCCATCAAACCACATTGGAAACGGCAGGCCCCTGAGCCGCCAAGGGCCCCACCACCTCTGCCAAAATCCCCCCACCTACTGCTGCCAACTCCGTAGGACCGCCACCCATGGACCGCTGCTGCTACAGGTGCAACCCCCCTGTTGCATTACAATTGCTACAGAGACTCTTCCTTGGCTCTCTGTGTTGGACTTTAAGTGTGTTGGTCCCTCCTTGTCGCCCTTTACTAGCGTATTCACCCTCCCTGCGAACTACCCTATTCAGCAGTGACTGTCATCTGTTTGCTTGAATTAAGCTTTGTGCGTTTGCCATCTACTCTGTGTGTCCTGTCCTGTCTACCCTCCATCACAGTTACTTTAACTGACAATTGCACGATCATGCAACTCTGCACCCAAATGAAATTTACGTTCTTTTTTCCCCACAAATTGAGCTTTCTTTCGGTGGTATTTGATTGACTGTGCGGTTTTTTTTTGGCTGTATAAAAAAAAACTGACAATTTTCAGAAAAAAAATATGTTTTTGACTTTTTGCTATTAACCACTTCCAGACCGGACACTTTTACCCCCTTCCTGACCAGGGCAATTTTCAGCTTTTAGCGCTATCACACTTTGAATGACAATTGCGCGGTCATGCAACACTGTACCCAAATGAATTTTTTACCATTTTTTTGAGATAGATAAAGCTTTATTTTGGTGGTATTTATTCACCACTGGGATTTGTATTTTTTTTGCTATGTAAATGAAATGTCCAAAAAATTTGAAAAAAAGTGTTTTTTTTATAAAATTTTGCAAATAAATAATATTTCATCATAAATCTTAGCCAAAATTTATTCCGTTATCTTTTTAGTAAAAAAAAAAAAAAAATTCAAATTAGTTTATAAGCAAAAATTATAATTTTTAAACATTTTTTTTACATTTTTATTTTATTTTTTTATATTATTATTTTTTATTTTTATTTTTTTTTTACATACTGTCACCCTAGCAGTACAGTGTCACCATGGTGACACTGTACTACTTGTGAGGGGTGATGAAGATTTTTTTTTTTTTTTTTTTACACTGATTGCTTTTACACCCATATAGGATGTAAAAGCAATCATTTCTCTTTCTCTCTGTGTGCATTCTTGCACTCATTGAGAAGAGTGAGCTGTGATTGGTCACAGCTTGTCACATGGTACAAGGCTTTTGTGAATAGCCTTGTACCATGTGACCTCTGTGATCATTCACAGATTTCACACATAGTAAGCAATGATGTCAGAAGTGACATCTTGCTTACTACTTTGCATGTGATCACTGATTGGCCAATCAGTGATCACATGATCGGGACCTCGTACAGAGGTCCCGTCCGACGATCGGTGTTTCACTGTGTCCGGAGGACACAGCGGGCACCGGATCGCGGTGCTGCGCGCTCCCAGGGAGCGCGCACAAGCAGGGTGCGGGGAGGCCGTTTATAGACGGCCACCCGACCCTGCAGTGCCACCGTCCGGCCGTTTATATACAACGGCCGGTCGGGAAGTGGTTAAATATGTCCAGTAAAAAAAATTTAAAAAATAAAATTTTGTCATAAATTTAGGCCAAAATGTATTCTGCGACGTCTTCGCTAAAAAAATCCCAATACGTGTAAATTAATTGGTTTACGTGAAAGTTATATACTGGGATTTTTTATTTAATTTTTACTAGTAATGGCAGCAATCTTATATATAGCGGGACTGACATCCCCAGTGATACCAATACAGTGATCAGTGCTAAAAAAAAAAGCACTGACACTGTACTGATGGCACTGGGCAGGAAGGGGTTAACATGAGGGGCGATCAAAGGGTTAACTGTGTGCTGTTTTACTTGTGTCTGTGTTTGTGTGGTTTACTGTAAGCACACTGCTTCGCATGGCTTCTGCTGTGCATAGCCATCGAAAGCAGTGTGCATGAGCCGACAGGGAGGAGAACTGTTTTGTTTACAAACAGTTCTCCTCCTTGTTGGGGATGCTCGGCAATCACTGGGTGCCAGCGAGTAATCACCGGCCAGGACCCGATAATTAAAAGCCGTGGACACAAATGCCGGCGAGGGTAGGGCGCACATGCGCCTCGAGCGTGCCCCCTGCCCGGAAATGCAAAATCATGGGCCGATACACAGATCAGTCATCGGCTGTGTTCGATAGACACAGCCGGTGATAGATCTTGCCGCAGTGCGGCCCTGCAAGCAAGTGCGAGGTGCCAATCCGGTAGGACATCATATGACATCCACCCAGATCGATGAAAGTCCTGCCTGGCTGTCATTTTACTATATGCCAGCAGGAACTTGTTAAAGCCATGAAAACACAGGTATTTTTCATTCAATCCAGCTGGCTGAATGAAAAACAAAGCTCGCAAGGAGCTCACCGTATTAACTTTACAATGTTAGTACAGCAACCTCCCCACTGAGCTACTGTGTTCTGACAGGGGGACTGCCCCCCACCAGAATGCACAGTCCCACTGCACAGCAAAAATAAATAAATTCTGCTTTAAAGATGGGATTTTAGGATTCTTTTATTAGGGCTTCTGTGTTCCAGTGATGTGCTATCTACTACTGAGTGCTCTGGTTTCCACTCTGACAAACAATATGCTTGTTAATGGCTATGAATGGTGGCTAGTGAACAATTTGCAGGACATTAGCCCTGTGAAATATTTAGAACATCCATTACTTTCTCTTAGTTTACTTCACCTCTGCCCCTTCCATCCACAGTTTTTTATGGCATCATTAAGGGAAAAAAACTACTGTCTATTTAGAGCATCTAAAAAGCCAATTACAGCACTGTCAATGAATAATGGGTTGGCGGAAGAGAAAGAGAAACCTAGTAGAGCTCTAGGTCAGCATTGAAGTTGAGGATTCAGTTACAGTGCAAATAGGATCAGAGGAAACTCCAAGTGCACAGAAAAGGATCTCATTAACATACCTGATGACATTATTATTATTGTTATAATACAGGATTTATATAGCGCCAACAGTTTGCGCAGTGCTTTACAATATAAGGGAGATAGTACAATTACAATACATTTCAGTACAGAAGGAATATGAGGGCCTTGCTCATGGAGCTTACAACCTATAGGAAGGGGGAGGTGATACAAAAGGTGATAGCTACGGGGGATGATCTGGCGGAGGTGATTCAAGTACAGTTCTTAGGTGGAGGTGGAGGTTCCCTGAATAAGTGAGTTTTCAAAGATCGCCTAAAGGCAGACAGGGTTGGGGCTGACCAGACATACTGTGGTAGGGAGTTCCAGAGGATGGGAGAGACTCTGAGAGACTCTGGAGAAGTCCTGGAAGCGAGCGTGGGAGGGGATGATGAGGGAGATAGAGAGGAAGATATCTTGGGAGGAGCGAAGTGGGTGATTTGGGCGGTATCTGTGGATGAGATTGGTGATGTAGCTAGGGGCAGTGTTGTAGATGGCTTTGTAAGCTGTGGTTAGTATTTTGAATTTTATACGTTGGGTTAGCGGAAGCCAGTGAAGGGATTGGCAGAGAGGGGCAGCAGTCACTGATCGGTTGGTAAGGTGTATAAGTCTTGCAGCAGCATTCATAATAGACTGAAGGGGGGATAGCCTGTGTAACGGTAGACCAGTGAGGAGGGAGTTGCAGTAATCGAGGCGGGATAAAACCAAGGTGTGTATAAGTTGTTTTGTGGCATCATTGGTCAGAAAGGGGCAGATTTTGGAAATGTTCCGGAGGTTGAGGCGGCAGGATTTAGCCAGTGACTGGATGTGGGGCCCAAAGGAGAGGTCAGAGTCTAGGATTACGCGTATCACCCTGGCATGAGGGGAAGGACCAATGGTTGTGCTGTTGATCTTAATGGTAAAGTCATGATTGGGGGATCGGGGAGGAGGAAATATTACAAGCTCAGTTTTGGAAAGATTGAGTTTAAGGGATTGGTTTGACATCCATGCTGATATGTCGCTTAGTAGATTTGTGATACGTGAGGAGATTGAGGGGGTGAGCTGGGGGGAGTGGAGAGATAGATCTGGGTGTCATCAGCATAGAGGTGGTATTGGAAGCCATGGGAGGTTATCAGTTGGCCCAGGGAGGAGGTATAGAGAGAGAAAAGGAGGGGCCCAAGGACAGAACCTTGGGGTACCCCAACAGCAAGAGGGAGAGGAGCGGAGGAGGAGGAGTTGTATGTGACACTGAAAGTGCGCTGAGAAAGGTAAGAGGAGAACCAGGAGAGAGCAGAGTCACGGAGGCCGATAGAGTAGCGTTTACTGAGGAGGAGCGGGTGGTCGACTGTGTCAAAGACAGCAGAAAAACGTCAAGGAGTATGAGTATGGAGTAATGGCCATTGGTTTTAGCAGTTAGTAGGTCATTAATGGCATCTTTTAATTCCTCTTTCACTCTGTGATGTTAGTTAATAAATCTAGGTGATGGGTTTACATGAAATGAGTGTAAAGCCTGACTATCTGTGAACTATCATGTTAGTCTGTATCATGTTTCAGAAAATGATAAAAAATATATATTCACTGGCCACTTTATTAGGTACACCTGTTCAATTGCTTGTAACACAATTGATAATCAGGTCAATCACATGGCAGCAACTCATTTCATTTCACCATCTAGACGTGGTGAAGACAACTTGCTGAAGTTCAAACTGAGCACCACAATGGGGAAGAAAGGAGATTTAAATGACTTTGAATGTGGCATGGTTGTTGGTGCCAGACAGGCTGGTCTGAATATTTCAAAAACTGCTGATCTACTGATCTACCGGAACCATCTCTAGGGTTTACAGAGAATGGTCTGCAAAAGAGAAAATATCCAGTGATGCAGTTGTGTGGACGAGAATTTCCTTGTTGATGTCAGAGGTCAGAGGAGAAAGGCAGACTGGTTCTAAATGATAGAAAGGCAACAGCAACTCAAATAACCACTCGTTACAACCAAGGTACATAGCATAGCATAACATCTCTGAACACACAATATATCAAACCTTGAAGCAGATGGGCTACAGCAGCAGAAGACCATACCGGGTGCCACTCCTGTCAGCTAAGAACAGGAAACAGAGGCTACAATTTGCACAGGCTCACCAAAATTGGACAATAGAAGATTGGAAAAACGTTGCCTGATCTGATGAGTCTTGATTTCAGCTGCAATATTCAGATGATGGGGTCAGAATTTGGCGTAAACTACATGAAAGCATGGATCCATCCTGCCTTGTGTCAACAGTTCAGGCTGCCAGTGGTGGTGTAATAATGTGGATATTTTCTTGGCACTAGCAAGGTGTACCTAATAAAGAAGCTGATGAATGTACATTGGATAGCTAAGATGAAATGAGTTACAGAGAGTGGGTTCCTTTCAGTGATCCGTAAACTTGCAATGTGATGAATGTAGTAGTGAAGTGACCGTATTGGCTACTAAGCAAGAGACAGAGCATGCACAGTATATGTAATATACAAATAGTGCTTCCTACAGTTTATACTTACAAGTGAAAAGTAGCAAGGATTTTGAAACACTAACATTAACTTACATTTAAAGGGTGAAAGATAACCAATAAATTAAATAAACAACAGAAATAAACATAATAGTCAACTAAAGTAAAAGTATTATAGAAATGGTCCTAGAGATGAAAGAGGTTATATAAATGGCTTGAATTTCAGTTGATTCCTGCTAAATCTGCCAAAATTGGCATCAGAATTGCTTGACAGTTGGGTGGAGTTCTTTGACTGGTGGAGGTTTTGACTGACAAATTATGTGAGTGTGGGGAGATCTTGTGGGGGAGTCATAAACCAGGTTTTTATTGATGTATCCTTATTACTATTATACCGGTGACTCGCTTACCCCCCACACACATTATACATAGATTTGGGAATGTAAGTGACTTTGGTGGACCTAAATGTTTTTTATTTTTCGCGCCTTCCACACGGGGTGGTCTCTGCCAGGAGTCCAATTTCTCAGCAGAGAATATGTCCGCTGATCCCCGCTGAGCAATTGGTTGGCTGGCAGAGCAGACACAGATACAGCTTGCTGTTCTCCATGGGCTGTCAGATGTAAATGGACCACCTGTCTGTTTACAGCTGACTGCTATCTGATCCGATCCTCTAGACCAGCGGTTCTCAACCTGGGGGTCGCGACCCCTTTGCGGGTCGAACGACACTTTCCCAGGGGTCGCCTAAGACCATCGGAAAACACATATTTCCGATGGCCTTAGGAACCGAGACACCGCTGCTCTATCCGTCTCCAGGTGTGGGCGGGATGACATGCCGCCCCTGTCATCTGGACACACCCTCGAGATCCTTGCCGGTGATTGGCCGCCGGAACTGTAGCTCAGGAGAGGCACACAGACGGCCAATCACCGGCGAGGAGGTGGAGCTTGGAGAGGAGGAGCCAAGCGGCACCGCGAAGATCGAGCGGGTGAAGAGGAGGAGAGCGGACGGAGAAGGAAGACATCTGACAGGTAAGTGTCTGTACCATGGGAGAGGGAGGGAGCGAGCCCAGGCTGGAGCAGGGGTCAGCAAGGTAAGTATCATTGGTGTCAGTGGGAGGAATAGTGCCCCATCATTGGATTCACTACTACCAATGATGGGGCACTATTCCTCCCCCCACTGACACCAACGATGAGGCACTATTCCTCCCCCATGACACCAACGATGGGGCACTATTCCTCCCCCCACTGACACCAACGATGGGGCACTATTCCTCCCCCACTGACACCAACGATGGGGCACTATTCCTCCCACTGACACCAACGATGAGGCACGATTCCTCCCCCCACTGACACCAACGACGAGGCACGATTCCTCCCCCCACTGACACCAACGATGGGGCACTATTCCTCCCCCCACTGACACCAACGATGGGGCACTATTCCTCCCCCCACTGACACCAACGATGGGGCACTATTCCTCCCCCACTGACACCAACGATGGGGCACTATTCCTCCCACTGACACCAATGATGGGGCACTATTCCTCCCACTGATACCAATGATGGGGCACTATTCCTCCCCCACTGACACCAACGATGGGGCACTATTCCTCCCACTGACACCAACGATGGGGCACTATTCCTCCCACTGACACCAACATTGGGGCATTATTCCTCCCCCTGAT